GTAGTAGTAGTAGTAGTAGTAGTAGTAGTAGTAGTAGTAGTAGTAGTAGTAGTAGTAGTAGTAGTAGTAGTAGTAGTAGTAGTAGTAGTAGTAGTGGTAGTGGTGGTGTACGACAAACGACAACGAACAACAAAGCAGAATACCTGATTTCAAAGCATCTATGGATGATGGTAAAGTTCCAACAAATGACGGGAATGTATGATTGGCCTTTATTTTAGTCTTTCGGCGGGGGGGATAGGGGAATGAATGACAGGGACCAGGACCAGGGGAGGAGTAGTAGGACTCAGCAGCACACGCAGGAAAGATGTTGTTTCAAAATGGTCGAAATCAATCTGCATAATTAACCAAGAACAAAAAAAAAAACCAGAAAGAGGATCGTAGCCCAACGCGGGAATTGGAAAAGAGCGGTGATTGGACAGAAAAGCGAGCGAGCGACGACGACGACGACGAACGCTACTAGCTGATGGTGCGTGCGTGCGCCCCCGCCCGCCGGTACAAAATAGACACATTCACAGATGGACAGCAGCCAGCAGCCAGCACTCAGCAGAGTCAAGAACGAGGCTGCGGGAACCGTTGGAGTGTGTGCATAGGGTACTGCATCCATACTGCATCGACTGATGGACGGGAATGCGGGATGCTCGGTTTGAAGAGACAGACAGAACCCCCCCTGGGGCGTGCGGGAGGCTTGCTTGGGTGCGGTACGGCAAGGCTTCTTCTTCTGCTTGTGAGAAGACGATACATACGTAGGCGTGACAGCCCAAGCTGGAGTCGGAGCCGCACACGCACGCACGCACGCACGCACGCAAGTCATCAAAAGCTGTGCACCTAACTACCCTGCAGCAGCTCAGTCTGGTCTGCAAGAGTTGTCAAGTGGAGTTCTATCGTGGGGAGAGAGAGAGAGAGAGTGAGAAGCATAGGACGTCGTCCGCTCTCCACGGTACGCCTAACCGGATGCGGGAACTGGAATACATAAACGCAATCATAACGTACCGGCGATCGACCAGCCTTCTGGAGCGTCTGAATGGACGTTTTGTCCCACGGCTGGCTGGCGTGCTGGTTCCGGATCAGCAGACGACGACGACGAGAATGCTGTGCGACGACTTCATAAATAGAAATCAACCTTGGGAGGATCAGCAGGCGTTTCGGCACATGGGCATGGGTGGATGGCCTTCTACGTCATGGACAGACAGGACAGGCCAATGCCACCACGAGCTTGTCACAGACGAGTCGGAGGACAGCATGAGCATGTTGGTAATATGGAGCGCGATGAAGCACAATGATAGCAGGGCATCGTCTCGTCGGCTGTGTTGGTGGCTTTTGAACGGACCATTAGTTCAGACAGCAGCAGTAGCACTCACTCTGTAAACTGCAAACTGCACCGCCGTCGGAGTATTAATCAAAGGATGTGATCTACGAGTGATAATGTAAGCAAGGACGGACACACAGACGTGAACTCTATCGGAGTCTAACAAGCTGTGGACTGTGGACTGTGGACTGTGGACTGTGTGACCTGTAAACCTGTGAACTGTAAACTGTGAACTATTCACTCTCAGACCGACCAGAGGCACAAGCACATGCGTGCCACAAGCAGCGCACCCCGGGACAACAAATGCCCCGAGCCCCGCCTATCAGCCTGGCGGGACAAACCCTAAAAAGCCCAAGCGTGAAGCCTCAAGCGCATCGGATCCAGTGAGTGGGTAGCGTATATCTCATCCCGATGGGCGTTGTTGTCATGTCCGGCTTGCAATCCCGTCGGGACAAGTATTCGTCCAACGGTCGGCAGAGAGAGAGAGAGTTGTGATTGACGGTGTGCGGTACCGTAGAATTGAACGGCTTCATACTTTTCGGGAATCAACTAAGATTTGTCGGAATAACCTTGTCTCTCGGGCTCTACCGTGGTCTTGTAAGCCCCTCAAGCCCGGCCGACGGACGGGACCGAGTCGCGGGATCCCATCTAATTATTAGCTGTGTGCTGTGTTGTCGCGCGTCGATGGTTGCTTCTCATCACCACCGTTGCTAGGTATATCGCTGCATGTACTCGAGTCTCTAGCAGAGCATTGAGCGATTTGGTCTCATCGCAGCATCTAGGCGCGCTTATAAGTGGACGATGATAGGCTTTTTCTTCTCCTCCCTCCGACAAGGCGAGATTAGTATCGAGGGAATTGTTGTTGTCGTTCCCTTGTCTCGTCCGAAGTGAGGAAGGAGTGCACGAACTTCAAAAAGACAACAACGGCGGTCAACAGTGGAGTGGCTGGGGAGACGTGGTCCGTGTGCACTGTCCAAAAGCAGTCTAGACCGACACAGGATAGCCACGTTTTGAGACGGTCGATCCTTTCCCCCTACTCCCCTCCCCCCCCCCTATACCACCATCTCTTCCTCTTAACCCCCTAATTCTCACAGCGTGGTGGCCATGCAGCAGCCGCTTGACCAGGACAGGGAATTGTTGCAAATTAACGCAGACACTAGATAACAAGCCTCGCATCGGAGTATAGTCTTGGAGAGCTATCGTCGGTTCCTGTAGCTGGGCTGAGTGTACATGTATCTGATTTGGCCGTTCGGCTATCTTATTCTTGGGTGGGTAGTGGGTAGTGAATGTGCACGCACTACTTTGTTGTTTCTCCTGTGCGTGCTGTGTGGTGTGTGCTGCGTGCAACGAGCACCTAGGACCGAGCACTGAGCATTGTGAGCAAGATGATGTATCATGATGAGCACCCAAGAGAGTGCAGGCCTCGCCTCGATCAATCAGATCCAGTCGTCAACAGGCAGCCAACATTCGTCTGTTGGATGATCCGAGCGTTCGCTCGATTACCCGAGCCTGTGGTTCTGGGATGGATGCTGATAGCTGTAAATTAATGTCAGCTGCAGGCACCGCTAGACACATGGCATCTGTTTTATGTTGACCTTGACATGTTGTTGCCTACTTGCCTGCCTGTCTGCCTGCCTGCCTGTGGAAATGAGATTGCGCACGCATGCATGTGTTGGCACGAGCAGAGCCGAATCCTACGAGTACCTCGCGAACTGTACTGTACTGGAAGAGTGGGAAGGTGAAGCACTCCTCCCGCCGTGGCTTCAATCCTCCCGCACCTGAAGGCTTACGGTACAACAATGCGACCGTCTGACGTTCTTGACCGGTCAGCGGCAACATGACCTATCCTGGATGCCCGTACTTGTGGTCGTAGTAGCAGTAAAATATAGTAGTCATTGCAGTCATGATGATTCGCCTTGAGGCTGAAGTGGAGCAGCGTTGGCAGCGCTTTGAGTCGCAGTACGAGTGGACATGCGACAAGTCCCTAATGTCTAGCTACCTGGATAGCTCATAGTGCTGTATCAGCCATCAGCCAGCAGCCAGCAGCCGTCAGCCAGCATATCTATCGACTGGACACCTGACAGGTCCCTAATAGTGAGTGGTGTATCAGAATGCTAATTATTGAGAATGAGGGTCTACACACTCTCTCTACCACCAATCTGGCAGTGCAGATGGCGCTAGAGAGGAGCAAGGGTGGAGATATTGACTACGGGGAATAGCTCCCGTAGCGGCTCGGCCTGGTGGTGTTGAAATGGGTTTGGAGATGGGAGGGGAGGTATTTTAGACGCAGGGTGATGGGCGCACGGGAGGATTGTACGGAAAGCGTTTGAGAACGTTGACAATCTAATACGAGCCGACGATACGAGTCCATCATTAGATGCAATTTGAAAGTCTTGACAAGCCATAGCCGCCGCCGTATCGGCGACAATAGCGAGAGTCAGGAAGTCTGTCTGATGATGAATCAATCTGGAGCAAAGAAGAGTCAGGACAAAGTCACTCAGCCTCTCAGGAGATGGCCATCCTCGGCCGAGCAGAGAGAGGTATATGTAAGCAGAAGTAGCGGATTAAAAGTGGAGCGCGGCTGAACGAGAGCGAACGAAGAGAGAGAGAAGGAGCAACAGAGCAACAGAGCAACAGTGCAGGAGCGAGCGGAGCAGGCAGGCTCGAGCGAAAAATAGCATCACCGGCCACGGGTGATTATCCGGAATAGGCTTAAGGTGGTGTAGTTGCCTACGGTCGCACTTTCCCCACCAAGATCTTCACTACTGCTTGCCACGGTTGACAGTCACAAAAGGGTAATTTGGGTATTTGGGTAGTGCCTGCCCTGCCACTGTCTGCCCTGCCACTGTCTGCCCTGCCTGCTAACCTATTAGTCTATCGCTACTGCCCTAACAAACTACTACTACCCGCGGGCTGCACAGGACACCCGGCGCCGGGCACCACAGAGCACAGAGCATACAATGCACCCGCGCACTTTACAGAACAGGTGCGCACGTTCCATCTCGCTACGCCTCGGGTGCACTAAGATGGTAGCCTACTGGAAGGTTTCGGTATTTTAGTAGACTAGTAGTAATTAGTAGTAGATCGTAGGGATAGAGGGACAGAGTGTGTGAGTAAGAGAGAGACAGTGAGAGCAAAGCAGCAGCCAGGCCCGTCACTCGGCCCAAGCTCTACCACCACAGCCGACGCTTGTTTTTCCAATTGCTATCTACTGCTTCTGCGATGGTGATGATGATGATGATGATGATGATGATGAACATGATGCTAATGCTAATGCCGATGCCGATGATGCTAATGATGGATACTCTAGTCTCTCTGGATCTGAGACTGTGTGACTCTGACGCTCTGACTCTTGCATGATCTGATTGATGCGCTCGGCAACGATCCGGCTGCAGACTGATAATGCTCAGACTCTCTGTCGTGCTAATTTATCCATGGATATATTATTGTTTGACCATTTTCTACTGCATTTGCATCCGAACTAACAGTTAATATGTGCGTACATGGACTGTGATGCTATCTATCATTCGTTTGTCTGCTCGGCCGAGGGAGCTGCTCCTCGTCCTCTTCTAATTATCATGGATAAGGGATGCATCTTGACCGTTTGACTGATCCTTTTCAAGCCATTTACGCGCTTTATCCTCTACTCCTTTAGGCAGTCTGTCCTCTGTGCCTAAATCCATGTACGGTGGTGCAGTGCTCCCGCGCTCAAGCTTTTGCTGTCATCGTCCGAAAGTGCGCCATCTTATGCACCGCCTTATGCACCCACCACCCCCCTCCCCCTACCCCAATCCACACTGCCTGGCTAAGTATCATCGCCCTGTATCATTCGCTGCTTGGACGAAACTCTCCCCCCGGTCGTCCCTGGAAATCCCTGGAATCCTCCGCTGCTGCATATCCCTCTCGCTCTCTCTCATGTAGACCTCTCCACTATTACTGACTATCTGTCTACTGTACTGTACCTACTACTCAAGCCTACACTCCAAATATACACTTCGAGCTTCTTTCACTGCTATTCCCCCAGACAAATCATCTTGCTTCATCTCCACACACACTCTCTCTCACACCCCTGACTTATCTGTCCTCATCCCAAAACACTCTCCCGACCCTTTCTACAACCCTAGTCTGTATCGCGTCCACCTCCCGATCCACTCTATTTCCTTTTGGCTCCGTGCTAGCTTCGTCTATTCCTCTATTCCCTTCAACACACTCTTCTGTGACCACTATCCGCACACCCCCCCTCCCCCCTCCCCCCCCTCCCATCCTTGATAGTCCTTCCCCATCGTTCGACTCTTTCTGCGACACTCTCTCTCTCTCCACCGCAGCATCCCCAGTCCATGCTCGACAACCCCCCCAGCCTCGTCCACCGTCAAAGTATTCTGGTCCAGCCCTAGGCGCTAATCATTCCCGATCCAGTCTACAGCCCCGTGCTGCTGCTCCTAGTCTGCCCTCGACACCTTGAATTCACCTCACCCATATACAACTTCCAGGACCCACAATGCCGGACCAGCAACACTCCATTGTCAATCTCTTGGCTGCTGCTCACCACACTCGTCCTTCCACTAGCCAAACTGCTCTTCATATATCAGATCGCAGCCGCCTCTCAATCCAACCTCTGTCAGCCGAACTGTTGTCTCAAGCTTCTCATCATCATCATCACCATCATCCTTCATCCCAAACTCTGCCTCCCTTAATCCATAGCAATCGTCGTCTACCTTCACCTAACCCGATTGCATCAACTGCAAACATCACTTCCATCACCACTACTACCACAATGCATCGTTCAGACACCCCGCCGTCCATGGCACAAGACATCGCATATACCAGGACTGGCCGAATAAGTAAGGCCAAGAAAGGTCTCAAGGTCCATCACTGCAAGTGCGGTCGCGTATGTACACTCCTGTGCCTCGACGCCTTGTCTCTCCTCTAACCGTGCCCTTTTATAGTCATATACACGTGCCGAGCACTTGAGGCGCCACCAGAAGAACCACGAAGAGGAACCTCTCCGATGCGACTTCCCCGAATGTGGAAAATCTTTCCACCGTCCAGACTTATTACAACGTCACAAAGAACGACAGTATGCCTTCCATTCCATCAGTACTCACCACTACTACTCTTCTAACATGCATGCCTAGCTCCGAAATGCGCCGTGACAGCTCAACCATGGACTCCAGAATACCATCTTCAGCTGCCATGCACGGCTCTTCAATCCACTCAGAATACCCAGTCGACACCCGTGTCATGCACCACTCCATCTACCCAGCATCCACAGCATCAGGAATCTTGGACCTTTCGTAAGTCTCATCTCCTCACCCTCTTCTCCTTTCCATTGCCTACTCGCCTCGGATGCTTGGTGTCTGTTCTAGTCTACGCACGCTAGCGTTGTGGACCATCACAATACATCCGGCTCCGGCGCATCCCATCCATCCCATCCCATCTCATCCCATCCGCCTACCTTGTTTTTGTACCCTTTTCCTGGGCTCGGACTGACGCTGGATGCTTAGTTCCGGGAAGGCTCGGTCTTTCAGTACTAGCCATTCACTCGTCAACTCTGCTGTCCCGATTTCCTTTGACGGTCACATGACTTTCCCTACCGAACCGTGGTGTCCTTCTCCTCCCTACTCCGAGTCGAGCGGGTATGCTTCTCCAGGTTACGATGCTGTTATGCCTTACCCTGCGATGCCCTACTCTTTCGATTCGGAATCTGAAGCCGGCTCCATCGTCTCCTTCATCGATCCCTGGCTGTCCTGCGCCGTGCCTCCTCCGCCTCAGTCTCCTGTGTTCAACAGCATTCCTACTCATCTCGGCTGAGCTGACGTCGTGTAAAGTCCAGGGCTACTTGGCATGTCGATGAGCATGGCGACTACAGCCTATGACTACCCAGGCACGACTGCGTCAGCCTCGAATGACAACCTCTCGAGCTACGTCATGTACCAGATGCCCATCAAGTCTCACGAGGAGCGCGACGAGGACGAGCGTAAAACACTGTTTCCACAGATCGAGTTCGACACCACGTCCGATAGCTACCCGTCTGCCGACTACATCGAATGCTATTGGCACCACTTTCATCCAGTCTACCCTGTCGTGCATCGAGCAACGTTTGGGCAGGAGGAGCCATCACCACTGTTGAAGGCAGCGATGATGGCAGTCGGCGCTCAGTACTCCAAGCAATCAAATGCTCGCGCCGATGGTCGAAACTTCCACGAGCGGTGTCTCAAGCTTCTTTCGCAGCGCGACCTCGATGTAGGCCTGCTGCAGAGACCTTGCGACATGCAAGCCATATTCCTGATAGAGCTAGTATCGCAATACAGAGGCCGACGAGCTTCACAGCAGTTATCGAACCGCTTCAGACATATGTACAGCATTGTAAGCCGGATTCGTCACATGATTTCACGTACTCATCGCTAATATCATCGTGCAGCTGGCAACTGACTCGGAGGTCATGTCTTCGGGCAACACACTTGGTAGCTACGCCAAGCTGTCACCAGCACTCGACCAGCGCAACAAATGGAAGCAATGGGTTCGCCTGTCCACTCGACAACGACTCCTCATCGCCTGCTACATCCTCGAGTCGCAGCAGGACTCTCTGCTCGCCCGCAAATTGCCCAAATTAACCGTGTCCGGACTTGAGCTTCCACTCCCGTCTCGTCTCTCTGTCTGGGATGCCGATTCAGCCTCCAGCTGGCTTTGCTCCTTGCAACAGCACCCGGCCTCACCAAACTTCGTGTACGCCATTCCCACGGACCCAAACACACCCCAGTCATTTCAAGCCGCCGATGCCTTCCAATCAGCCCTGCTCATCTCCGCCCACCTCAACCGCTTAAAAACCACCTCTCGCGACACAACTGCCCTCCCTCAAACCATCGACCCTTCCATCCCCACCCAGCTGCTATATCTCGCCTGCCACCTCTCGCGCGACATCCCCCTGCGCGACCTCCTCGCCGTCGCCGGCGAGACCTGGATCTTATCCGAAAAAGTCTCGTCCGAAGAAGTCTTCACAGCACACAAGAACGCCGTGCGCAGCTGGATCGCCCCGCTCTGGACACATTCAAAGCACCCGCCACCCATCCACATTGCCATGAAACACGCCGTCCGCCTCCTCCGCCTCTCCCTCTCCACCCAGCCGACGCCCACGCTCATCCCAGGCACCGAAATGGGTCTCTACACAGCTGTGCTCGTGCTGTGGGCTGTCACGACCGCCGCAACAGCGCGCTGGAAACAGTGCGTACGTGCCGCCACGCCGACGCCGCAGATCTTGTCGAGCAGTGACGCGGGAGCGGAGATGGACGAGCGCGAACTGGAGCGCGAGACGAGTGAATTTATCAGTCTGTTTGATTTCGATGTCGCGCTCAAGGGGATCGAGGGCGTGGGGCGCTGGCCTCAGGGTGGTGTGCCGCTTGCGCTGACACAGTGGCAGAGAGGCGTTGGTGCGGTGCTGAGGAGAGTGCAGGGCCGGATAGGGGGAAGAAGTGGAGGGCGAGATGGTGGTTCAAGTGGCGGTCCCGGGGAGTTGTTGGAAGGCGCAAGTGGGGTGCTGAGCAAGTTGGGCAGAAACGGATGGGGTGTGGAGTTGTTCTGATGGTTTTGCTGCTGTTGTGCATTTGCATGAGAGCGATTGTTCTTGTATGTTTGTGTGTGTGTGTGTGTGTGTGTGTGTGTGTGTGTGTGTGTGTGTGTTATATTGCGACTACCCATGAGCGATTTTTGGTTGTTTTTTGGATTATATCGTATATATTTGCATGTATATCATATGCCGTTACGCATATGAAAAGCATAGGGTGCTTACGAGGCTTGCATTATACGATGATATGCCGGATCTTTATGACTTGCTGATTTAGCTTTCTTTCTTGGACTTGTTCTTATGGCGCTGAATTGCTTGTGTGCTGCTACTACTACTACTACTACTACTACTACTACTACTACTACTACTACTACTACTACTACTACTACTACTATATACATGCACCGTCTACCGAAGTTTGCATCGCGTCGAATACCTATGCTATAACCCTAACGGATGACGTCATACCGAATTATATACATGCCAGGGTAGTTATTAATGGCAACAGGCTTAGGTTCACCTCTTTAAGGTTTCGCTGTTTATCTATCTCTTGTACGTTTATATTTAATGGGTTTAGTACTAATATGGTCGTATCTAAACTAACTACTAGACGTGAGCGATAATTTCTTTTCTGGTGGGCTGTCTGGCTTGGGGTCTTGATAATTGATTCTTCGATTCTTTGATGCTTGCATTATTATACTAATTATTATATCGTATCAGTCTAGCATATGTACTTAATCTTCTACTCGAGAGGTATGTCATGTACATATATATAGTATAATGAAAGGTTAACTTCGTGTATTAGATAGAGAGTCTCTTTCTATTATCTTCTTCTTTACCTATACTATCTTCGAAGAATATCTTATAAATCTTCTCTTCGTCGGTAGTATTACTACTCTATAGAGTAAAGAGGTCTTGACTATAGTGTATACGATGATATTGATATAGACTACTGTAGATATTTAGAATAGAGTAAAGTTTGTTGTTGCTTCTAAGCTTAGTAGTATGTACTAGTATTTAGATAGGTTACTTCGTAGTAATAGATATTATACTTCTTATATATCTTTCCTCGGATTTATGATAGAGGCCATTTCGTACACTACATCTCGCTTAACAGAGTCACCGCGAAAAGAGACATCCTCATGCGATTCCACATCAAACCTATCCAAACACTCTTACTCACTCTACTCCTCTCGGCTGCGTCAGCGTGAACAGCTCCTGACACATATCCATATAGCTAATCGGCGCAAACCGCGCCTCCCCGCCATCCCTCTCCACTCGCGATGGCATCGGCCTAATAACAGCATCCGGCCTGATATTCACGAAGAACGGAATCGAATAGCGAGACGGGATTGTATCCTCGCCACCTTCTAGAGCCCCAGCAGGCTTGCTGATGCGGTGCAGCGGCGACGGATACACGCCTATACGAGAAAATCAGTGATACCCACGCCACACACAGGCAATCACAAGAAAGAATGAAAGGACGTGCAGCATACCATTCGACAACCTCTCAAAGACATCGCCAATGTTCAAATACACCACGCCATCCCGCGGCACAGCACACACATACGCGCCCGTCCCGCGGCGCTCTTCAAACTCCAGCCCCCCGACACTCTCCTGGACAAGGAGCGTAAACGAACTACCGCCCATATCTTCACATTAGCACTCTATTCCCCCCCCCAATTTACCACTCTCGCTAACAGTACTCACGAACCTAAAGTCCCGGTGCGGCGCAATCCGCATTACACTGGCATCGCGCAGCTGCTCGGCGCTCAGGGGGAGGTAGTGTGCCAGCCGCATGCTCGGCTCGTGCGGATCGTGCATGTTGCGGAGTGTGGCGCGGTCGGAAGCGCTGAGGTCGAGGCTGAGCATGAGGGCTTCGAGGAGGTGGGCGGAGAGGGTTGTGAGGTGGGTGTAGAGGGTGAGGAGGGTGGGTTGGAAGGAGGGGAGGAGGGATGCTGGGGGCCAGATGTTTGGCTGGGAGGTGTTTGCGGGGCTGCCGATGTCGAATGTTTCCTGGGGAATGAAGGGTGTTAGGTGCTGGCATGGGGAATATATGCGTATATATATATACATGTATATATATATATGTGTGTGTGTGTAGAAAAGGGACTCAAACCTTCCAATCAGACGCACTCCGCAAGAACGCCTTCTCCGCCTCCGTGCTCGCGTATACCGCCCCTAGATTTCCTGATTTCTCGACCCCTGCCGCGAGATAGCCGCGATGAGGCGTTGGTGTGTCCGGGTGCGGGGCTGTCATTTTGTCGGCAAGGGGTAGGTCGAAGAACTTGTGCATGACGTCGAATGCGTTGTTGAGTATCTCTTGTGGGATGCCATGGCCCTTGATTCCGACATAGCCGTGGGCTCTGAGGTGAGATGCTATAGTCTCGGCTGCTGTGCGTTTGGATGCAATGTCGGGACTGGTGATGAAGGGGTGGAGGTCTGCTATTGGGACCGACTGCATTGTTGGGCTGTGTTTGGGGTGGATGGGAAGGGATATGTATTCGAGTGTGGGGAAATCTCATCGAAGAGAACAAGGCCGAAGTGTGCTTTTATGTTTGCTAAGGCTGAACGAGTGGCACAGTTGCATAAGAATTTACACGCTTATTGGCTACCTTTAGCCATGAGATCGTCCACATCGCTGACCGTCAACCACTGTTATATCGCAGAGCGTAGTGAAGGACAGGCAGGTGTGTGCACGATCGCCCCAGGATACCCCGTGAGTCAAGTATTCACCATCTCTAGTAACCTGATAAAGTCTCGTCGCACATGCCTCCCCAAGTCCTGCGCAGCTTATAGCATATGACCAAGGATGTACATATCTCAAACCCGCTCTTCTGCAATTTGAAACGTCCTGGTTATATGAACATGTTCTTTCTCGTCCTCGAGCTCATAAGAATCTACCAATGTACCTCTAGAACGGCTCGCTACAGAGAAAATGCTAGAAACGTTCTGGAAAAAGGTTTGCACCCCCTTGAGATGGAGGAAGTTTGATAGGCTTGGTAGGCAAACCGTACAAAGCCCAAAGCCAGCCTCGAGGAGCATAAAGTATGCAGCGCCAGTCGACAAGACTACGAGAAAGTACGTGCTTCTCAAAACCAGAAAGAAAGCGATACTCACAATCTTGATCGGATGAAGCCTGGAATTCAACTGTGCAATTGTCTTAGACCCATACATACATAGCAGCCAGGCGGTACGACTTACTTTCCAATGATTGCATGAAGATGGTCAACCGGACGGCCGAAGTGGCGATTGATCTGGAGGTCAAGTTCAGCAAGGGATTGATACTGCACCATGAAATACCTACAGAGATCCGAATAGAAAGATGACAGTAACTGCCAATTTCCGCTGCACGCCCATTTTAAGGTCCCATATCTATGCAGTCAGCAGTTGTCTCAATATATGTAGCAGCTGTTTTCATCGCCTCACATATGGTAGTGGAAATAACAGCAATACCATATCGGTCACAACATCTGATATACCCAGAGCTTTATGGAATGCGACGCTGTCGACAGTGCATTTCATGAAATTCTCCACCGAGGTCCATAGGTACTCTAGGTGCCTCAAAGTGCCACAAAGCATGAGGCTTCCCACCGTAAATGAGACGCCCCATACAAGCATGACAGTGATAAGAGCCCAAAGCACCCATCTGGTACCCTCGTTTGAGCCGGTGTAAAAGATGCGTAGATAGAATGCTAAGCAGCTCAGTTTGACACATGCCAGGGTCGGTGTCTGAACGACCAGGAAGAGCCAATAGATCTTGACCAGTGAGCCCATGCATATATTGAAACGCCAGTAGATGAGATATTCACCTTCCGCGTGATCGTCTGCTCGTGACTCGTAGAGACAAAGGAGAGTTCAGGGGATATAACAGGAGTCGGATACCCCATTGATTTTGTTCCTACACCAACTAGAAGGGCTGCGCTCAAACACCATATCAAGAACTTTCTTTTAGTCAGTGGAAAATGCTATAAGTAACAGCGAGAGCTACATACTAATGCTGGCAGCGTGAGCCAGTCATCCCATCCGTAATGGCTTCTCTGGGATCTACGCACTGCAAACCGAGCGCTGACGATCCCGGTGCACACAGCTGGCCAGATGGTTGCAGCTGTGTAGAGTAAAGGAGGATGAATCCTGAGAGATGCCATTGTTTGACGTGAGTTCTGGGCTAGATGTAAAGTGGGTTCTAAGAGGGCAGATGAGATACTCCGGAGAGCACTCCTTTGCGGACCACTTCTATAAGTGAAGTTGCATAGTCCTTGCAGCTGCACCCTGGGGGCCGTACTGGCCGTTTGGACCAACGAATGTGGTCTTCATGTCTATCACGTTTGCTCTAAGACCTTTTGTCCGAGATACTGCGCCCACAGCTATCACGGAGTCTGGTATGAGCCGGGCACAGCAGTCGAGATGATCTTGGATGATGCTTGCTGAACACTTTAACCGCAGTGTCAATCACTTATGAGTGTTTATTGAATGTTGGATCGTTGGATGTCTGACTTGTCTATGGCTCTAATTCGCCATGTAGTGCTGCCATCCTTGGCGGTCAGACCACCCGTACCTGATCTCTAAGGGTGGGACGGCTCGGATGGCATACATCCGTTCACCATTCATACTCCGTAATTACCTTATCGCCTGCACGATTTCTTCAAGCTACGGCTCGTTGACCATGTCGACATCCAACCAACAAAATCTCACTTTCCTCCTGCAGCAAGACATAGTAAGTCACATCGCGGATGAGCATGCTGCATTCCACAACACAAGCTGACGCTCTATTCCGCAACTTGTAGAGTTTGCATGTCAACAACGCAGAGCCTTCGATTGTGTCAAGTCATAATGCTGGTGTAATCCTGGAGTGACTCTACTTTCATGGCTTCCACAGATGATACTATTCGCATTTTACATCATCACAAATATTATGTCTGAGTTTAGATTCTGGTATGACGTGGTGATTAAGTTATAGAAGGCAAAAAGTCTAATGTTGGCTATCTGCCTCAAGTAAACACCCCCTTGTGTACTGACTCCGTTGTCACTTCAAGGTAAAGACACTTCCGTATCGATGTCTATATTGTTCTCATGAATATGTCCATCTACATCAGCCCTTGGCTTAGTATTCGCATTCCCATGCTGTTGGGTTGAGATCGTGTTGGCTATAACATCGGTCAACATATATACCCTCTTTACGAATAAGTCCTTACCACGAGATCCTTGCAAAGGCAAAGCTGCTACCATTGTCATTACAACGAACGCAAGGCAGGATCGAAGAAGCATGATGAAGTCCGATACTGTAAGTAGCAGATACTTAATAGGTGTTCTCTTTGTGAAGCTCTGAGATGGTTGTAAAGTGGCGCTAAATTTGATTATTTGATCTTAGGATCTATTCAATATTTATATACGCTCATGCTACCATTCTCGTGCCAAGTGGATCATAGACTACATCACGTTCTTCCATAGTGGTTCGTAATCAGGCAGACCTATGGTTCATACGTACTGAGCGGTGATCGCTTTGATGCGTTGTCATGTGTGATTGATATGCTGGTCTAGGATATTCCTAGGCAGGCAGTCTTCAGCTTTACATGACTGACGCCTTGATGTTTGTAAGTGACTCAGTTCATGTTGCGTCAGGATCAATGTAAAAGGCGGTGCGGGCCGATTCAAACAAATGCGTGTCATCATAAACGAACGATCGAATGAGGAAAATTGACGACATAGAACAAGGACTGTAGACTCTTTGTTTGTGATAGGAGGTAATGACTTCACTATAATGAATGCATGACTGCCGCACTGCGCTTGAGAGATAAGTGAAAACGTAGTTCCTAGTACGATCACTCCCATGGGAGTAGAGTGTCCATTGCAAGTTTCTCTTGAGTTCCAATTTCTTCTTGTTTCTGACTGTACCAAGAGACCACTGGGTGCTCCCATATAGCCAACAGCACGTCTCTACCTCCGCTCCAGGCAGATGATGTTAGAAAGTTTCAAGACTAAGAGCTCTATAATGGAAGAGGAACCACTATCAGAGCCATTGCTAGAAGGAGGGTTTTATAGGGGCGACCATGGAGCAAGAGAAGTTGCTCCGAACCACCACCCATACAGATTGTACCCTCCAGTCAAGTACCATGTCTCGTGCCTCCTGTATCAGCTTGTATGCAGTTTGGCCCTGATGATACTGATGGTATTGATGTTCCCGGGAGTATTGGTGTACCTGATTCGCACTTTGAGCTTTTTTCCAGAAGTTGTGCCAACTAAGGCTTGTGAGCTTAGCTATGATTCTACCAATCTACGTCTACTGACTTGATACTAGACCCATTACCCTCCAGTATCCGATGGAATACATTTCCAGGTGATGATAACTATTGGTCAGAGAGTTTATATATGGGTCAGCCGACTCTGGAGAGCGATAGAGCATGGCACAAACTTCTTGCGCGTAAGTCGGCAAAGGTATGTCGAATTCACACAACTGACTATTTCACAGATGGTGGCGTCCGCGTGGATGACCATGAAGCACAGCAGCTCAACATTACCACTAGCCTGCCTTTGGTCAATGGTGGTTATGGTGCCCTTCTTGGTATTGATCATAACCTCCACTGTTTGGTCCGTCAATAAAGATCTAAAAGTACCCCGTTATTGCAAGTGACTGATTTCCATATCAGCGGCATTTTCGACAATGGTATTACTATGATTACTACTACGCGAACAAGACGTCCGAGGAAGTTAGTTGGCTTGGGGAACATACCGGTCAGTAGGACCTCTTGGGGTGTTCTTCCAAGGTCGAATGCTTATAAGCCTAGGCCATTGCTTGGAATCGTTGAGGAAGTCTCTGATGTGCAATCCGGATCTGAGTATGCTTCCTCATTACGCAAATCTCAACAATAAGTTCCACCCAATCAATGCAGGAAGCTGGAATGTACGTGAATGCGTGGATTGGGATGCGTTTCAAGAGGCGGTAGCAACGCGTAGGTACGATGTATCGGAATATGGTGAAGAGATTGAGCGGTTGATGTACGAGGCGAGTCATCGGCATTCTTCATGAAGTCCAGTTGAGTCTCAGAGAGTCGCAAGCTAAAACCACTGCTCACACCATCCATGTGTTCGCGTACTTTTGGTAGGTAGCTCATGAGCCTCACATACTTGCAAGGCTATAGGAATCATAGCTGCTTATCATGTATCTGGAACCATGTACGGACCGAAGTGGCAATCTACAATTGACTCACGTAAGGATCCAATAGAAGTGAAAATGACGCTCAGTATCGCGGTGTTACCAAGCGTGATGATACATCTGTAACCTTTTCAGCGCGACTCCACCCTTTAAAATCTAGTTCCCTAGATTTTCTAATGAAAAGATAGTACTACTATTTTGGCTTAAGAGAGCTTTAAAGAGAAAAATATGTAGAAAAAACTACGGTCCGCCCCTTTTCCTGAATTCTCTATACGAAATCCAACATTAGAAGCTTTTCTTAGGATAACTGCTTTATCTATACTTTTTCTTTTGTCTTTCTTACATATAGAAAGTAAGACTATAAATCCTAGAGGAAATAAGGATAAATTCAAGTTTTTAAGAATAAGACATGTAGGTGATGATGCGCGAAAAATGCGTACCAACAGTAGCGCGGCAAAAGTTACTGACGGATCGTGCCCCGGTATGTTACCTTGCTTCACGAATATCAGAATAGTCAGCTAACAGTCACCTCATGTTCATGTTAGCCTTAATCAACTTCGGGAGATCTGTGTGGCACAGCTACAGCCTGATCGAATTGCCTCTCTTTGATCGTCGCCGTACGTGCCATATGGGACCTACACAGGCGCTTATCAAGGCGAAATGCAACCCAGGCCTTGGATCGACGGCAAGATACCACTCATCAACAGAGAGTGAAGGTCGTTGGGCGACGCACGTTCGTCGCTTTCGACCCTCCTGCTATAAGCCCATCAGTCGATTGCTATGGAGCACGAAAAGCGTGCTGGAGAAATATCTCAGCCAAGCACCTCCTGCACAGAGGCGCCCTACTCGAAGGAAGCAGCCTCGCCTCCAAAAACAGTATCAAGACATTCTGATGAGAAACTAGAACCGACAATCGTACCTTACTTGGACAAATTATGGCGAATGGAAGCATAGAATCCCCTCAATTGGTCGTTGATAAAAAGATGGTCGTTAGTGGTCTCTATAGCTCTGTCGAATTGCATTGCGTGAGTACTATCGGTAAAGTTCTACTACAGTGAATGCCGTAGTACAAGTCTGATACTTTTACTACAACACTGGAGATCCATGGCATTTACGGCTTTTGAACCGGCGATGCCAGTCGTGATGACTGAGTTCCATTCCCAGTCCTCTGCTGTGGAGTCCCTTGTGGTCTCGATATACATGATGGGCTATATCGTTGGTCCGCTTCTTGTTGCCCCCGTCTCAGAGCTCTATGGGCGTGCGATAGTCTTGCGTGTGGGCTTACCGCTGCTCCTTGTTTCGTTAGCTAGTAGTAGTGCAAGCACTTGTATCGCTATGTTTGTTGTCTTTAGAGCCATCGGTGGCTTTGGACAGATTGCTTTGCTGTTGATGGCCAATGTGTTTGTGGCAGACTTGATTTCCGTCGAGCAACGTGGATTAGGAATGTCAGTCATTCTCATGGGACCTGGAATGGTAAGTTGCTTGATCGCGGGGCTATTCATGTTATCGCTGCTGATACATTCTGCTACAGGACCCGACTTTGGGTAATTGAGCGTTTCCATATGAATGCTGTAACTTTTGCTAATGTCGGCACAGGTCCAATCACGAGTGACTATATCGCTGAGCATGTCGAATGGAGGTGGATGTTCTGGATATGCCTGATGGCTGTTGGTGAAGAGATTACCTCTGCAGAGTACAGCTGACGATATAACCCAGGCTGGCACGTTTGGTGCGCTGATAATCGTGCTGTATCGCGAATCATGCGGAACGATAGTGAAAGCAAAATGGCTGGCTGAAAAACATATGCCATACGAAAAAATCAATATCATCAGACCATCTCCGGCTAAGAAGAAAGCAGAGCTTCGTGCGGCTTAGATCCGACCAGCGAAGTTATTCTACAGATCACCCGTCACGATCCTTCTGACCTTCACAACATCCGTTGCGTAACGGATATTTCATACTCGCTTTGAGCATCTTAGGCACTGTCTTCCAAGATGCATATGGCTTTACTGCATCACAAAGCGGACTGGCCTATCTGGGCATAGCTGTCGGTCTTGTGTTTAGCGAAGTGACTGCAGGATACTTCTCTGGCCGGTTCGTCCGAGTCATGATGTCCAAGAACGGCAGAGAGTCGAAACCCGAGCATCGTCTGCCATTGCTGCTCGTCGGAGGTGCAGTGCTGCCAGCTGGATTTCTCATCTATGGCTGGACAGTCGAATATCGGACTTATTTCATTCTGCCAATCATTGGAAGCGCACTGATCGCCATGGGGGTCATGTACAACTACATGCCGTCACAAATGTATCTGGTTGACTGCTTTGCAGTTCATCCGGTCAGTGCCACCGGAGCCGCGAGTGTCGTTCGGTCAATCGTCAGTGCTGTCCTGCCTCTAGCTGCGAACCCAATGTACGACTCGCTTGGGTATTGATGAGCGAACAGTTTGCTTGCTTTCATTGCTTTGCTCAATGTACCGACAGCGGTGATATTGCTACGATACGGGGAGATGACACGCACACGCTTTGAGGTTAAGTTGTAAGTCGTTACGGGAATAGAGTGCTGACCTGTGTGGACGAACGCGATGTATCAATCGACTTGCCTGAGCACAGTCATGTATTTGATTAGAATGCCTTGCAATCTCTCTATGATGGACAGGGTGATGTCCATCAAGACCGAGGCTGAGTAAGCTACAGAGGCTTGGCAGGGTCGCGTCCTAGAAAGTTCGTGACGCGCAAGGGAGCTCCAATAAGGATTGCAATCAACTCCGCCAGCTTCGTTTGCCTACAAAGCTTTCCCATCACTTGTCTGAAGCTTGAGTCTGCCTACAACCTCCCGTGGCTCATGTGTTAGACGCCTAGCATCCCGGAAACGTTCAATATGAGCTCAAGGTTGCTCAACGCTGCCATTGTCATCGACAATGGTAGTGGGTCGATAAGAGCTGGGTTTGCAGGTCAAGATTTCCCCAAATGCTATTTCCCATCATTTGTCGGTCGACCGAAGCATTCCCGAGTTCTCGCCGGCGCGCTGGAAGGTGATGTGTTCATTGGACCCAAAGCTCAGGAGTTCAGGGGACTGTTGAAGATCAACTATCCATTGGAGCACGGCATAGTCACAGACTGGGACGACATGGAAAGGATATGGCAATATGTATACGAGGAACTGAAACCTCCAACGGAGGATGTGAGTCTGCCTGGGATTGACCGCAAATGGCTACTGACGGCGCGTTAAGCACCCTGTCCTCCTCACCGAACCTCCACTCAATCCGCGCTCGAACCGCGAGACGGCCGCACAGATCCTTTTTGAGACCTTCAACGTACCCGCCCTCTACACATCCATACAGGCTGTCCTGTCCCTCTACGCTTCTGGCAAGACCACAGGCATAGTACTCGATGCAGGGGACGGCGTGTCGCACGCCGTGCCGGTGTACGAGGGATTCGCCATCCCCAACAGTGTACGTAGGATAGATGTTGCAGGACGAGACGTGACGGAGTACCTTCAAACCTTGCTGCGCAAGAGTGGATACGTCTTTCACACCAGTGCGGAGAAGGAGGTGGTGAAACAGATCAAGGAGAAATGCGGATACGTCGCAATAAACCCAGAAAGAGAGGAAAAGGAATGGACAGCAAGCTCGTCCAGGTCTGATCCAAAGAGCATGGAGTATTCATTACCTGATGGGAATAAGCTCAAGGTGAGCAATGCGCATGCTGTTGTGAGACGTGAAGGATCCCTGCTAATGAGGGCTGCAGATTGGTGCTGAGCGGTTCCGCGCCCCGGAGATACTTTTCAATCCTGAGCTTATTGGAACTGAGTACCACGGCGTACACCAAATTGTGGTCGAGTCAATCACACGCTGCGACATGGATCTTCGGAAGTCTCTTTACAGCAGCATAGTGCTGTCAGGAGGGTCCACGCTCACCAAAGGCTTTGGTGACAGGCTTCTGAGTGAGGTACAACGGCTAGCACCCAAGGACACACGCATCAAAATCTTCGCACCCCCAGAGCGAATATACACCACCTGGGCCGGAGGCAGTATTCTAGCGGGTCTGAGTACATTCAAAAAGGTAAGTAATTGAAATGATCTCAACAGCCAACACAGCTAACTCTTGCCCTGTAGATGTGGGTAGAGAAAGACGAATGGCAAGAGAATCCAGACATCATCCATACCAAATTCGCCTAGACAGCTCTCGCAACGCACACGTTCGTTCCCCGCAAAATCCAACGTACCGGCCCTACTACTTTCAGTTACCAGAACCTCACCTGCCCCCTAGGGAGACAATACGACGGGCGCGAACTAGCTCAATAGGGCGAATGGCTGTCAGCGTGCGGCAGCGATAGCGTAACGTGTCGTTTGGCGAAGCTACACTGCCCCAGTTTTCCCCGCATGGCAACGGGCTCGTCCAGGCTATTGATGGACGCAAGACCATTTTTGTTACCTGATGAACATGTCATGTTATGTTGGCAGGGGTGCCCAAAGTGGCGAAGCGAAAGGCCAAAGAAAGTGTTGTCAAAAAAAAAAGGCCGTGAATATGCGGAGGTGTAAGTAAGTGAGCATGGCATTGTAAAGGGCGTTTTGTTGTTGTGAGGCATCTAGAAATCGGAAATACCCCCAGAGCACCAGCACCACCATAATCAATCCCCCAAAGTATAGTAGACGAATAGACTTTGTCAACTATTCTACGTGCGCCCTGGAAAACTCGGGGTGTGCACGAGATGCCCTCAAGGCTCAAGCCAGCCAGCAAGTTCAGTCAGCCACGCCAGCCCAGCTCTGATCCCAGAATGACCCAAAACCAAAACCAACCGTAGAGCCGCGCAGTCTCGCTAAGGCACGGCTCGGCGATCCCCTGACACCTGGGCCCCCCCTGGTCAGGTGGTGCCTATCCATATATTCTTAGCAATGATACTCCACCTTCATCCCTTTAACAGGCAAAGCGGAATGCGGGGAAGTACACGCCATGAGGAAGCCACGTACTGTCTTGTCGGTAAACGAGAACAATCATGAGGTTTCTGTAGTGTGAATAATCAATCACTTGGAAGTAGAGAATTTTCAAATTCCGCCCGCCCACTACCGCTCATCGTGATACTAGGTCATTCCAGTGCCAATGCGTTGCGGTGTGAACGACGGACTGACTGCCAAGCGGTCTGGTAGGTAAGATATATCTGTTAATCAAGTGTCAAGTGTGTTAGTCGCAGATCTGGACTGACTGGACTATTGTATGTACTACGCCGGAGGGCTATGTTGCTTGAGGACGGACGGACGCAGATGCGCTTTGCTGTCAGTGCGCTTGGCTATGTTTTATTATTCATCGTAAAACACTCCGGCCATGTGCGGCGGAGAGATGGAATTTAACTTTCTCACGGAGCAATCATAATTTATTATTATTAGGAGGAGGAGGAGGCAGGATTTTCTTTGATGATGGATGTCAATGCTGAAGACGATGATGATGATTGTGATGATGACAGGTATAGGAGAAATGATGTGAAGGTCCGGAGATGCACAAACCAGACATGTTGTACAAGTGCATGAATCAGGGCCGTGTCAGCAGGGGGAGGGTGGTTTGCGAAAAGCTTGTGTTGTCGGGTGGATGTGAGATCATGGTATCGCTTGCATCGATCGGTGGGTGCTGGTGTTGTTCTTCTTCTTGGTGATGTTGATGGTGATGTTGATGCAGTCGACAACACAACACATTATATCGTATCGCATCGTCCACACAAACACACACATGCACACATTCACAGGCAACCAGCACCCTTGGCACGACGAACTGGGCACAATGATGATAGTACCCAGAACAAGACGAAACGACCAAGGCCCGAGTCACGAATTCAAATTGCACCATTCATCCACGCACGCACGCGCAACCGACAAGGTGCGTACTGGGCATTGGCAAGCAAGCAAGCAAATCTCACGATGTCCACTCCCGCAGCGGCACCAGACCCGATTGAGGTTTCCTGGGGGTAATGAAGTAGTTTCCTGGGGGTAATCGAGGAGTTTCCTGGGGGTAATGGGAAATGGCCATTGGTGCTGACTAGGGGGTAAGTGAGCGGTCACCAGATATTGCAAGGGGGGGGACTCGTGGTTCCTGAAAATCCGGTCCAACTTCCAAGGAGTCGATTACGTTTGGCTGGTGGGTGTGTGTGCTCAGTAGTGCTGGGCTTGTGCTCAGTAGTGCCTGGGTTGTTCTTGGGGCGCGGCTTGGTTTTGGGCGGCGCGTTGCAGTTAACGGCTTAAGCTGGAAAACTCTGAGCTGGGGCGTTACGGTGGAGAGGCGGCTGCTGAGTCATGTATGTTATCTGTAAGATTTCCCGAATCGGGTAGTCAGTTTATGCGAACACTGCTGTCTAAGCCGCCGACTATGCCAATTCCACACACACGCATACATATCTACACCGACAAAAGGCGGGTCTCGATCGCCCAGCCCTGTATTGTAACTCTCGGGAAAGGCGCATGTTCTAGCTCGCTTTCTTGCCACACAGCGGCACCACAGCACCCAAGGCCAAGGGGGGGGGGACCGAGTGTGAGAAGGCGGCGGCTTGGCTTTGTCACGATGTTGCCATCTACCTACCTAGCCATTAAATGACTTGCGCCCCGGACAGAGTTTTCTTTGCGCTGGGACTGATCACGAGGCGAAGGTTTTGCTGGCTGGGGCAGGCCTGGACATCCAATCTGCGTCGGGCTCGTGTCATCGTGACTGTTTGCTCTGTCTGTGCTTTCTAGTTGGCCGTGTTGGTACCGGGTGGTCATGGAGGGTTTTGCTATATAAAGCTCCCGCCCGGAATACTATCGTGGGTTTTGTTGGAAACATCTACCACACTCTTCACAGTTTATACTCTACTGTTGCTGCTACTGCTATCACTACTACTACTACTACTACTACTACAAGCATACTCGTCCGTATATATCAACAGCATACATATATACATACACACTCTCACATACACACACACCTCTCAAACACCACAACAACAAACCATCACCACCAACCAAACCTCACCACACCACACCACACACCACACCTCCAAAATGTCCTCCCGCACCTACTCCATCACCGAACCCCACCCCACAGTCCCAACCTCCCACTACATCTACACCGGCCGCGGCGGCGCCGGCAACTTCACCAAAGCCCCCGCAAACCTCACCCCCGGCCGCACCGCCTCCGGTCCCGCCTCCCGCATCCCCCTGACCTCCCACACCCGCAATCAATCATCCGACACCACTTCCACATCCGCAACCGCATGCGAACCATCCGCCTACTACGCCTCCGGCCGCGGCGGCGCAGGCAACCTGCACCGCTTCTTCGGCTCCCAGCGCGAGCGCGCCATCTTCAGCTTCGACGAGGAGTTGGCCGTGCAGCGCCGGTTGCAGGAGCGTGCGGCGCCCGTGTATCATATTGGGCGTGGGGGCGCGGGGAATTTCATGCGTGGTGGTGGTGTTGGTGATCGTGAGGGGAAGGCTGGGTCGGTGAGCGAGGAGGAGATGGAGGAAGGGCGGAGGGGCAGCGGGGAGGGCGTGTGGAGGAAGATGACGAGGACGCTGTCGAATCGGTCTTGAAATAAGGCATTCATTCATGAAGTGAACGATGGGGGGGTTTCATTTCGGACGCACGACTCTCCTCTCCTCTTTTTCGGTTTCTACGTGGCTTTTTTTCTTCCTGATCATTGTCTACTCGGCGCCAGGCTGGGATTCGAGCGAGCTGGTTCTGATTCTCGCGAGCATCTGGCACGGCGTTTATTGCACTGATTTTCCTCATACCCGTCGACTGCTTCATCTTCTTCTTCATCATCATCATGTCATCTCGGGGGGCTTCATCGGTAGCGGTTTCTCATCATTTCACTCTCATCGGGGTATCCTGTATTACGTACCACAACCGCAAGGCGTTATCTTGCCTTGGAAGAGGGCTTAGCATCACGACTACTACTACCACTACTCTTGCTACGACGACGACAATGACGACGACGATGCTAATGGCGATGGATTTACAACAAAAAGTGCTTGGATTGCGGACGACTTGACGGGGTTCTCCTGGTGGTGGGCTCTGTTGGGGGCGTTGGGGAATAATACCCTGATATTGTATATAACGATTTCTGTATCTACATGCTATGGCTCTCTCTATTATATTGCAATCTGCTTAACGTACACTGTTTGGTATTTGCTTTGATAAATTAAAATTGATAAACGCCTTACCTACACACCATTCTCCCTTCATCTGCTGCGCGTCAGTGCGAGGGAGTGCCGTTCTAGATGCTTTAGAAGGGGGTCTTACAGTCTGACCAGACGGCACACATGACTATACGCCACAGCCGCCTTACGTATCCTGCTTCTCCTCTTCCCCATTCCTCTGCTTCCTCCAAGTGTGATGCTGAAACACCCGCGAACCCGGCTCGTCCAACGGCAGCTCCACAAGTCCGACCTCGTGCAAAGCACCCATGAATCCCCATCTACCATTCGTAACAACATGCACGTCCACCACTCTCTCGCTATCGTTATGTGATATGAATTCCATCACCTGCGTGATAAACAGCCTGGCCTGCTCCTCCAGATACCTGTGCTGCGGCACGAGGATCCTGATGCGCAGCAGTTTCAGGCTGCGCAGTTGGCGCAATTGCAGCCATGTCTTTGTCGGGTCGTCAAAGTAGTAGCACGACGTGTAGTTGAGGTCGAGCGTGCGGATCAGGTCGAGGCAGGACTTGCTCGACGGACCGAAGCCCATCTGACGAAGCGGGATATGGCGTGCAAAGGACGAGAAATCGGTGAATGTGAAGGGGAACACTATCTTGTTGGAGCTGTACAGCAAGGGCGCAGCTTCGAGGTAACTGTGCGGTGTATATTAGCTGGTGATACAGGCGCAGACCTATATAGGACGGCGAGACAAACAGTTTCCAGCAGGTGCGAATGATGTTTGTTCTGAAAGGCGGCGGTGTGCGATAGTAAAGACTCCTGCACATCGTTCCTACATAGCGACTATTGCCATGATCCCACAGCAACCTCTCAAGACGACGGCTGCCGCAATTTTCGTTCAAATACAGCTGTACGCGCCACGACCAGTCCAGCACTTCCTCAGTCATAGGCCCTTGATAAAGGTCAGATATACTGGTCTTGGAAGTGAAAATTACACCCGAGCGGCGTGTGCACTGTGGAATCACGTACAAGGTGCCATCCGCGAAGAGGTACTCGTAGATCTCGAGGCGCAGTTCGACGGGCAGATCGAGCAGACCCGACCGGGTTTGCTCAGGCTGACTTTGCACATGGCTGGGCTTGCGTAGCTTATGTCTGAAGACTACTTTTGGGAGTTGCATCTTGCGGAAGAACTTTGTCAAGGTTTTGTCGATGCGTTGATGGCTATCTCGCTCTTCGTCTTCGTCTTCGTCTTCGTCTTCGTCTTCTTCTTCTTCTTCTTCTTCTTCTTCTTCTTCCTCTTCTTCTTCTTCCTCTTGTATCTGTGACCTACTCGCCTGCCTGCATGCCATTTTTTTAAGGTCTGTAAGGCCCGTGATGTCTGTTGCTTGGTAATGCATATCGCTTAATCCGCTGAAGCTCATTGTGTATGAGGCGTTTTATGAGGAAGGGATACGTAGTGTGCATAGTCGACTTATGCTCAGCTCCTTGATTTGATGATGTGCCTCTGCAGCCTCTCTTAACTTATAAGGTTCGTTAGAAATAGTAGCATATATATACAGGATGTGTGTAAAAAGAATGGCTGGATCCGGATGGATCCGCCGCATCCGTGCCAACGTATACCGCCATTAGGCACTATTCACTCTCCGCAGCCATCCTAGTTCGATAAATCCATGGATTCTACTTGCGCAGAGTCAATCGGCCTCTCCGATACAAGCAGTGAGATATTGTGCCGTGGTGTTACCTTGTCGAGTGCTCTCTTGAGGGTCAGATTTATTGAGTCTACACAGAGCCACGTGATGACACATCGGCGCAGGTTGCGAAGATGCTCGCCCGACGCAACAAGTTGTTGAACATGAGATACAAGGTCGTCGTACGGTCCTTGTCGGTCAGCACGGAAGCCACTCAAGGCTAGAGTCAAGAATCTCAGGCTAGCCATGCTTCGGAGGAGCCGCCACTGCTCGAGCACACCTTTTTGCGTCCGAGCTGCTGCATCACGAGGAAGGTCATTATAGCAGATGGTCAATTCGAGGCGACGTATCGATGTGAAGCGAGACGGCAGGATGGTCGATTCGAACGTCCTCAGATGTCCGAATTTCGTGGGTATAACAAAGGAGTTTGACTCATATAAGATCGGCATCGCTTCGACATAGATTCGCCAGCATGTTGTCAGCAGATTGAGCAGACCGGTCGCTTCGTGTGAGAACCTGGTCGTCAGGTATGGGTCGGTGTCAACAACTGTGACCGTCTCATACGCAGCGATGCGACCTTGGCCCTTGCTCTGCTGCGTTCTGAGCTCCTCGACAACCACGTAGAAACGTCTGTTCCCAATCACCTCGCGATATACCTGGCGTCTGATTTCCAATGGCAGCATCGTGAGGAACTGAGCCTGACTTTGATCCTTGCGCGAGTGCTTCTGCAGGCGGAATCTTTGTTTGTCATTAGTCAATCTACGCGGCCGACGGGCTGGCAATGGTGCTGGAGGAAAATCGTTGAAGGGCTTAGTGCCACAGATTACTCTCATATTGCAGCAATAGACGCCGATGACAATGGGCCAGCAAAGACAGCAGAACAGGGTCTTGGCTCCAAAATCGCTAAGCTGCTTTGATGAAGTCGACGCCTTCTTGGATTTCGCTTGCATCTTGATTATGTGAAGCGTATCACTGTCGATGATTTTGTGTGTGGGTAGAGTGTGTTGGTGTTCGAACTTCGAATGACAAGGCAACCGAAGGACGCTTGATTTGAATTGTGGCTGAGCGCGTTTAGGTTCGATCCTACAGCATTAGTAGTAACCACTAATAGCTAAATAATTAATATACCAGTCTGTTGCTCCATTGCAAAACAGATCAAAAAGCAGATTTATTAGACTTATCATCGCATTAAGAATCCTAACTATACGAGACCACACCAACATTTCTTCTCTGTACGTCGAACCCCACGAGGTCCTCTCACTCACTTGGTCTGGCTTGGATTGGCCATTGGCGAGTACGATGAACAGTGCTCAAGGCGGCAGATAAGGCATACGTGGAGTTGAACAACATATGCTGGATGTCTAGATGCGTCTATCTGACGGAAAGGTTGGTGCTTATTGTCATCAGAAGCGCGACCTGCCCCTGCTGGAACGCGTGCGTTCACAGCATTCATGTTCAAATTCCAGCCGGAGAGCGGCAATGATGGAGTCGACATCTTTGCTCGGAGTTGGAGCTGTTTGCGGAGACGTGCTTATCATGCTGACGAATGTGATATGCTCAGATATTAGGTGTAGGAGACATCGATGTCCATTCTGGGACATGTGTTGATAGAAGGCGGACACAAGCGGAGTAAGCTCGGGACAAACTCGCTGCAGAGTCAGCACTCAGGCCGCAGTTATCTCGGCATCTTCATGGGTAATCGTCGGCGGTATTCCCATTCGACTGGCATCCAGAACCCATGCACGTACGTTGCAATTCTTGCATGAACCACCAAATAAGGTATTTCTCGCCGCGAACCACAACCAGAAAAGGTCAGGTCACTTACATCATTCCTGCATAAAGTGTTTCCAGAAGAATTATGGATCCTTGACAGCTGATTTGAAAGCACGCTGGATATTGCAGCCTTGCTAATGTCCGTTCGAAATCTCATCCAGCAGCCATCTTCTTCTCATCATCCAATGACAACACAGTCTTTTCTACTTTCGACTGTAGTAATGTGCCGATAAAGATCAATAGCTTCGAGGAGATTCTTCTTCGTGCGCTCTAGACTGCTGCTATGATTGCTGCTGGCAAATCAACGGATGATCCCTGCCTACGCCAAAGCCATGAAGGCCCTTTCTCGGACCCACTCGTTCGGGGCGACGTCATGCTGAAGTGTTTAGTGCTTTCATGTTGGACTTTTTTCGCGTTTACCGTAACCTTTCACATGGATACACTTGGACCATCCGATGATGATCATGTCGTAGGTCCAGTATATAACCTGGCGTTGCCGCATTCGACTGCTTCTCGTATTATCAAATCCTACTCTTTAGACTTTTCACGCATCTTCTTACACTGTACATTACTGTACTATCTCTAAAAAATCTACCTCAAGGCTTAACTCCAATCTCCTCTCCACCATGTCAAATGCTACCTTCTACAAAGGCTCGAAGTCTGGTCGGATCCAGAAGGCCGATACGCAATTGAAGAAGCTCGAGGGCGATTTTGTCCGACTTCGTATCACTGCATCAGGAGTATGTGGTACTGATCTTCACTACCGCACACAGCCAATGGCTCTTGGCCACGAAGGTGTTGGCATTGTCGAAGAGACCGGCCCAGCCGTTAAGCACTTGCAGAAAGGTGATCGTGTCGGCTGGGGTTACGTTCACGACACTTGTGGAGAGTGTGAGCACTGTTTGACAGGTACCTACTCCCCTCTGGCCTATGAATGTCCCTACTTGCTAACACCTTCGATAGGCATGGACACTTTCTGCTGGTCGCGCGCGATGTACGGAGAGGCAGATCTCGACCAAGGAAGTTTCGGCACAGGTGCTGTGTGGAGAGAAGCTTTTCTCTTCAAGGTCCCAGACTCAATCGCAGATGAGCACGCCGCACCTCTACAATGCGGTGGTGCAACCGTCTTTGGCGCTCTCGAAATACACAACGTCAAATCGACAGACCGCGTGGGCATAATCGGTGTTGGTGGGCTAGGGCATCTTGCAATCCAGTTCGCTTCTAAGAAAGGATGCGATGTCGTTGTATTCAGCGGAACAGAATCGAAAAAGGATGAAGCCATGGAACTAGGCGCTAGCTCCTTCTACGCCATGAAGGACAAGAAGCCGGGCGACACAGATATCGGTCGTCCGCTCGATGCTCTCATCGTCACTGCTTCCGCTCTGCCTGGTAGGACATCGAACTCTTGTTCAATGTGATACTTACTGACTGTTTCCCTAGACTGGAGTCTATACATCCCGCTACTCAACCGCGGCGCAAAGATTTTCCCCCTGTCAGTCGCAGAGGGTGACTTTGCCATTCCACACATGCAGATGATGTCAAATGGCTTAGTTATCCAGAATTCCCTCGTTGCACCACGTCTTGTGCATCAGCGCATGCTTGAGTTCGCCGCCCATCACGGCATCAAGCCTATGGTCGAGAAGTTTGAGATGAGCGAAAAGGGCATAGAAGAAGCCATGGAAAAACTTGATGCTGGTAAACTACGGTACCGCGCTGTGCTTCTGAACAAGCAGTAGAGTCGACTTGTCTTTTATTTTTGCGGTATGGCGCTAGTATGTATGCATTGTTACGGAGTAAAGAGCTTTTGATCAAAAAAGTTACTTTTTTACGAAGTCAATACGTCAATTCTGTTAGGACGGTGCGTCCCATATGTTTTGGTCACATCATTTTCGTCTTTTGCTCATTCCTAGACTTGACTGATAATCTTGCTTATGGGTCCAGAGATGTGATTTGCGGAACGGAGGATATCTATAGTTCTGTGAAGTGCAACTCATCTGGCTTTACACCAAAAAGTATCGTTTCCATCTTCCATGATATTGTCTAGATACAGAGTCTTCAAGAGCGCACGGTGTACGAGTGAACGATTGTAGGTGGCAGGTCCCAGCGCTTTCCCGTAATTACCGCTGCCGCCGTGTTGTTTGCGCTTTGCCCCTGCCTAACTTGTACGTCACGTGTGACCATGCACTGTTTACTTCACTTCGGTTTTTCAGCAAATCTGCGATTCTACGCGGCAGCAGTTTGTAGATCTGTGATTACACGCGACAAATTTTTCCATCACCAGGGTGGTAAAGCACAGCAAATTCGCAGATTTTTTCTCAGGTGGATAAGTATATAGTCCAAGACATGGCTACCTGGGTACGGCCTGCCAGACATGAGAGACATGACTATGCTCGCCACAATCGCCGGTCACCTCCACGCCGCTGGGTGCCTCTACGACCGAGGGCATTTCAGAGAGGACGTCGCCCTGAGATGTCGCGCCGTCATGAGAGCCCCAATCGTTCATCTCGGGAGCACATGCCTCATAGAGGTAAAAAGCAGCGCAACTATAGGGATCCAGACCGTGAGAGGGGAAGGGCAAAGAGCATGAGTCACGATTCTATATTGAGTTATGACGACGAAGGCTGTCTCAAGAAAAAAGGTGATGCCGGACAGAAGGCCAATGGAAAGGGAGCCAGAGCGAAGTATCCAACAAATCAAGATATGTCGCTGGATGAAAGAGGTACAGGAGGATATGGATCTTTCAAGAGGCCAGTTGTCGACCCAAAGTCTAGCGATAACAGGAAAGACTTATTCGAAGAGAAGATGCTCGCCAGATCTTCTTCCATTTCTAGGTCTTCAACTGTCACGTCCAGCAAGTCTGGGCCTTACCCGTGAGTGTTCGGCAGCACTGGTATGAACCTCACTGACATCAAAATAGGGCTGAGTCTCGCGCGGCAACACACCCGCTCTTGTAAGCGATTACCACTCAAAACAGTCATCTCATTTTGCTAACATGATCGCACAGTGTTCCAGAAGACTGCACTCACGCCATCTACCAGTCGTCCGCCAGAATGCGCGCCATGGTCCGCAGCAACAAGTTCCAAGCCCAGAAGAAAAGCCCAATAGAGGCCGTACGCATGGTATGGTACCGCAACTTTGACCTCAACCACAGCTTCGACCCAGGCTCCCTCCAGAACATCTTCAACATCGCCATGCTCCGCGCCCAGAAACGCGCCCAGCTCGGGCCCACAGCACTCCACGTCTCCTACAACAACGCAATCAACGAAGCGTTCAGCAACAGCACGGATTTCATGTACCGAGACTACTACATCCTCATGTGGATGGCCGTAGACGCCGACTTCTACATTCTGGAGAACAAGAGGGAGAAGAGGGAGTGGGCTGAGCGGGTCAGCGCGGTCCGGGGCCTGAAGGACAAGATTCCGAATCGGGAGCTTCCGATGCTGTACCGCGTGGACACGTCCACAGTCAAAGAGATCGGAGAGCTTCCGCCGGTTGCGCCGGAGGCGGGTCAGTGCTCCGAGTGGTTCAGCCAGGCCATGGAGACGATTGTAGATGGAGACATCGCCTATTAGGCGGTAGACAGTACTTAGTGGGTGAGTTGGGGGGCTACCCAGAGGGGCGTTGCGTGGTTATCAAGTCTCACATAACGCGGAATCTTCGACTGGCTAGTGTGTCGGAAGGCTTGATAGTGAAGCTAGATATTGCGGCGGCATGGAAAAAGGGACCTTGATTAGATGCATTCGAGACATGGACATGCCTTGCAAAGGCACATAGTATAGGCAGGTTTTAGTTAACAATACTTTGCGCTTCATAACTTTCTGACCTGGTTGATCTCATCTCTTGTTGTGCTCCGCCATGTGATGATCATGACTGAGATATGTGTGGGTTAGCTCATTCACATCCCTAGTATGTAGATTGAATATCACACAAGGAACAGAACACGACCTTTCAGATTTAGTTCTCGACATAAGAGGTGCTTCACTACGTTACAGTCCTGCCTTGTGAACGCTCAGGATCTTAACACTGCCGTACTACTACCACTTCACGCACCAAAACACACCAAAACACACCAAAACACACCAAAACACACCAAAACACACCAAAACACACCAAAACACACCAAAACACACCAAAACACACCA